AGGAGAATCTCAGGCCAGTGTGGTCTACATAGCAAGTTCCAGACCAGCTGAGGCTAAAGACCTTGTCTCAAAAAATAACAAGAGGCTGGAGAAATGGCTCAGTGTTTAAGAGCACTGGCTGCTCATACAAAAGAGCCAGGTTCAATTTCCAGCACCCATATGGTGGCTAACAACTGTCCTTAACTCCCGTTCCAGGGGCTTCGACACCTTGTTCTGACTTCCGTGGGCATCGCACAGACACAGGTACACTAACATACATGCAGGCAATACACTCATACACTTAAAGTAAAAATATTTTTTAAATGACAAAAAAAACAAAAAAAAAATTAAATCAGACTGAATAGACTGTATTTATTATTAATGCATGAGTAGGCACATTGGAAGTCAGAGGACAACTTTTGGAAGTAGGTTCTTTCCTTCCACCATGGGTTCTGGGGAATGAAGACTTAGGTCATACCCACTAAGTCACCTCACTGGCCCAGGACTCGGTGGCTAATAACACATGTAGAATAATACTGTACCTGGTAAGTGCTTTAAAAAAAAAAAAAAGGAGCTGCTACTAATTGATATTATTTATTAGAAACTGAACTGGATGATCTTTGAAGTCATATTAATCTCTAGAACCTTAGTCACATAACCTCATTTTCAGAAGCCTTTTTCTACTATAGGTCAAGTTATCCTATACAAAACATTCATGTTTTTACATTTTTATTTATATTTTTTATGTATGAGTGTTTTGCCTGCATGTATGTTAAGTGCACCCACATCATGCAGTACCCATGGAGGCTGGAAGGTGTCATATCCCTTGAAACTGGAGTTACAGGCAGTTGTTAGTCACCATGTGGGTGCTGAGAACCAAACCCCAGTCCTCTGTTAGAGCAGCCAGTGCTCTTAACCACTGAGCCACCTCTCCAGCTCCCAAAATACTCATTTTTAATTCACAAACTACACTAGAACTGCTCAACCAGGCTCCACTACGCACCCAATCATAACACGAAACATTTATTAGTTCTCACAAAAATATGATGTATAAAGGTTCTAACCAATAATTGTAGAATAAAGAAATGCACTTCACTTTGGTCACTATTCTGTTAAAAATTTTAGTATAAAGTAAAGACTACAGGCAACTCTATGCAGATAACTTTCCAAAATGGTTAAGAGTGTGACATGTGGAGTTTTCCTTTTTTTAATTTAGTACTACTGAAAATGACCGTAAATAATTCTCTGCCTTCCAGATTATTGCCAATCAAGCACACTCTGCTTCCTAAGCTTTGTCATATCATAATGCACTTGCCACCATTTCAGGGTACAGTAGTAATTTTTAAAAATATTTTATTTATTATTTTTGTGTGTATGCGTGTATTGCATGCATATAGGTGAGTGCACCCTTGTCATGCAATGCCCACAAGAACAGAAGAGGCCATCAGATCCCCCGGAACTGGAGTTACAGACAGTTGTTAGCTGCCATGTGGGTGCTGGGATTCAAACCCAGGTCTTCTACAAGAGCAACCAGTGTTCTTAACTGCTGAGCCATCTCTCCAGATCCTACAGTACTTAATTTTTAAGACAGTTTAAAACGGCAAAGATATTCAACTGTGAAGATGGCATGTACTTCATTAGCCCTCACTCTTGTAAAATGGACCTATCATGCCAGCAGCGGAGAGATATGCATTCTTAACAATGGGCAAAGACTTTCACTTCACATAGCTCTCTGGACGATCTGCTGCCTCTGAGCTTGGGGATTAGAGTAGCTACTTCAGTAACTCAGCTTTACAGCAATGGCATGATAAAAAATACTCTATATACCAGTATCATTTCCAAGTCAACCCATTCCTCCTTTCATTGAAAGGCCACTTAAGATCACTATTTATGGTTCATACCTTTGAGCACATTTAAATAGGGCAATCTATTAATAATTGAATCTTACTGTTAACTGTAATAATACATACTGTTAATAATTGAATATTACATACTGTTGACTTTCAATAGACAGTATTCACTTACATAGTACATTACCTTAGACACTGAGATTTAAACTTGTAATTTAAAACTATTCTAGAAACATTCAAATGCAAAAGGTAAACTCTAGCTCAGCTCTCTAAATTGCACCTGAAGTTTTAGCCAATAGAAAGTTCTCTCTCTGCAGATCAGAAAACACAACCCCATACTAGAAATGAGTACAGATGTTATCTCTGCTATCAGACACATCCCTGTTGAAACACTAAGTGTGGGAAGGGTGCAACAAATCTTGCAACTTCACAAAAGTTTTTGCAGGTATGCAAATTTTATTCCCAACCATTCCACAATGTCTTCCTAAGTATGCAGTACCACACCTTGTTTATACAAGGCTAGTGATCAAACCCAGGGCTTTGTGCATGCTAGGAAAGCATTCTACCAACTGAGTTACACCCCAGAGCCTTCCTTTAAAAGGTAATCTCTACCAGTAAGTCAATGCTCTCACAGGTGGAGGAAATGCTGTCTAGTGGACCAAGAATCTATCCAGTGACTGAGGGTAGACATGGCTGTCCTTACAAAGCTAAATGACCTCTGTCAAGGTTATCTCATCCTTCAGAGCCTCAGCACAAAGAACCTGACTGAAAGAGCTGAAGATGACTTTGTGACCTAAGATGCGATTTTTTTTCTTTTTTCATAGTAGTTTACAGTGTCAAGATAATACAGAGTTTAATAAGGGCTTAAAAAAAAAAAAAAAAAAAAAAGCCAGGCTTGTTTGCACATAATTTTGATCCCAGTACTCAGGAGGCAAAGGCAGGCAGAACTCAGAATCTGAGGCCAGACTGGTCTACATAGCAAGTTCCAAGCCAGTCAGGGCTACATACTGAGATCCTGGCTCAAAAATAAACTGTTATGGTGGCTTAGTCTAAGCACTCAGGAGGCAAGCAGGTCTCTGTGAGTTCAAGGCCAGCCTGGTCTACATAGTGAGTTCCAGGTCAGTTGGGGCTACTGAGAGACTCTCTCAAAAAAAGCAAGCAAGCAAGCAAGCAAGCAAGCAGAATAATGACTCTCAGTCAGTAGATGGCTCATTTGGTAAAGGTTCTTACCACCAAGCTGGAAGACCTAAGTTTAATCCCTGGATTTCTCATGGTAGAAGAGAACACACTCTCACAAATTGTTCTCCGACTCACACAAGTATACCATGGCACAGGTACCCACCTACACACAATAAATAAAAATGCAATAAATTTTTCTTAAAATAATAATAAGGGCTCCAAGATCCAAGTATGGTGGAGCCTGTCTGTAATAAATACCATCTATTGGGAGGTGGAGCCAGGAGGACCAGGCACTGAAGATCATCCTCAGCTACACAGTGAGTTCAAGGCCAGCCTGGCCTACATGAGACTCTGTCTCAAAAAACAACCAGGGGGAAGGGTAGATAGGGGGAAGAGGGATAGGAGGAAGAGGAAGGAGGAGCTCTTCAGTGTAGGAATTAAAGAGTTGCAGACCTGTGTCTAAATCTGTGCTCTGTGACTTCCTAGCTGTGGACCTAAGCAAATTCCTGGGTGTTTCTGTTATTTTTTTGTTGTTTTTAGGGAGTCTCAACATACTGCACAGGCTGACCTCAAGCACCATCCCACCATCTGGACTACAGACACTACACCAGGGAAGTGTATCTAACTCAAGCAAATTCATTAACTCTCTGTTTCCTCACATAGAATGAGAATGAAATGGTATTATCTGTGTAGGATTATACACAGAGTACTTGTACATCCCAACTGGTACCTTGTAAGCAAGCAGTCAACACAAGGTAGTAGCTATACTATTCCTGAGTTAGAGTCGTAGACCTTTAGCTTTATTCAACACTTTCAAACTTAAAGTATTCTTCCTAAAAGCAGAAAAATTTCATTAAAAAAAAAATCTCAAAATTAGCATGATCACAAAACTCTCTAATCTCTAACTGCTCTCTTAACCCCAATTAAGTTGTGAGTGGTGACACACACCATTAATCCTAGCACTCAGAAGGGAGAGGCAGGCGAAGCTGTAAGATCAAGGCCAGCTGGGGAGACCTACGGGGAGACCCTGTCTCAAAACTAAAAATAAAAACAAAACACTTCGTAGTTATACAAATACTCCCAAAAATACTTTCTATATTAAACTGATTCTACTCAGTGCTGTGCTAAATTGGACAGTTTCTAAGACCTGATACTTCTATCCAATGTGATTCCTCTTTCTCTTTACCTGCTCTTCACATCACATTTCAGGTCCTTTAACCGGACTCCAGGGCTCCACCCACATCTTCCTAGTTTCAAAGTCTGCATTCCACAGCAAAAACCCCAATCTGATTCTGTGCTTCAGGTCCTCACTCCCTTTCCTCCCAAGCCATGAGCTCGGACTTCAAAGTCATTACCAAACTGGGTCACGCTCCGCTCCAAGTCTAGCACCCCTGCCTGCATCTCAAAGGCCCTTGTTTACAAGCCTCGCAGGGGCTTGCACGCCCCCATCCTGCAACAGGCTGAGGAGTCTGGAATTACAAGTACCCCCAATTCCAGGCCGTACGCCAGGCTACCCCGAAGTGCCAGCCACGCCACCACTCTCTCCTTCCCCTTAGGGCCTCCAGCTTCGCCCCGGTGTCTCTCGCCACGCCAGCATTAGAGGAGTCATCGCCCCCGGCCGCCAGAGCCTAAGATGAGCGCATCCCTACAGCTGCCAATGCCTTCATCACCCCCCCAGGCCGAGCCGGCGTGACCAATAAGGTGCCAGGTCCGCGGCCTCCCCGCCACCGACCAATCACGAGCGAGCCCCCCCGCAGTCGCCTTCCGCCAATGGGAGAAAGCCCGTGGGCCCGGCCGCCCAAGCACACGGACCCCGCGAGCGTAGCGGCGGCGACAGCGGCGGGCCTTGCGAGGACATAACATGGCGGCGGCCGGCCGGACAGAAGTGAGCGGCGGCCGCGGAGGGAAGTGAGGGCTCCGCCACGGGCGGGAAGCGCCGCCCCCCCCGCCCGCCACCGCCCCGTCCACCCCCACCAGCGCCCATACACTCACCGGCCTCTCCTCCCGAGTCCAGAGAAGAGCAGCAGCCGCCCCCGCGCTTCTGCGGCGTCGGGCAGTGTAGAGGCCCGGCCCGGTGGAGGGGAGGGGGAAACGTGCGTCACGAAGAACGGACGCGCGCAGAGCGGGGGCGCAAACAAGATGGCGGCCGCGCCGTTTGTATCGTCTCCCTTTCCCCTTCCCCCTCCCTTGGCGCCCGCACTCCCAGCGTCCCATAGTACGCAGAAGCTGAACGGCCTGAAGTCTCGCGAGAATTGGGAAGGCGTGTTTGCGCCTTCTGGTCCCACCCCCTTCCTGGGGGTCCGGAGGCGTGGCTTGGTGACCTCGTTGGACGTTCTAGCCTGGTGGTTCTCAGCTCTGACCCCCTTGGTTTTGAATCGGGTCTAGGTTTCTGCGTTTTGCCTTGTTTTGAATCTAGAGGGGGAATAATGGTGGGGAACGAAGGACGTCGAAGGCATGCCAAGATTAAAAGGTGGCCAGGGACGGGTGAGATGGTTTTGCAAGCCTGGGGACCTGAGTTCGAGCCCACGGTGCCAGGGAGAACCGGCTTCTGACCTTCACACGTCTGCCATGACGCAGGTGTACACACATAAAATGGTTAAAAGTGGGTGCGGTTGGGAGATGGCTCAGTAAAGTGCTTGCCAGGAGCACGAGGAGCGGAATTCAGGTCCTGAGCACCCATATACAAAGCTGGGCACAGCGGTCCGCCCAGGAGGCCAGCCTGTCTAGCTGAATCGGTAACCTCCAGGTGCTGTCTCAGAAAATTAGGTAGTGTTCAGTGCTTAATGCACTGACTGCTCTTGCGGAAGACCCAGGTTCGAGTCCCGGCACCCACATGGCAGCAAACAACCGTCCATGACACCAGTTCCAGAGAATCTGACGCCTTCTGACTTCTGAGGGCATTGCATGACACGGGCGCACTTACATGCAGGCACTCACACATACACAAGAAGATAAATCCTTTTTTAAAAGTACGGTGGAGAGAGCCAGGTGTGGTGGTGCATGCCTTTAATCCCAGCACTTGGGAGGCAGAGGCAGGGGGATCTCAAGCAGATCTCTGTGAGTTCGAGCCAGCCTGGTCTCCATAGCCAATCCAGGCCAGCTGTGGCTACAGGGAGAGCCTGTCTTTTTAAAAAAAAAAAAAGAAAGAAAGAAAATCCGGTAAAGAAGCCATTGAGGAAGATATCCAGATGTCAACTTGTGGCCTCTACACACGTGTGCCTGCACTGAACAGTGGCTAGTCCCTAGGGAATTGCACCTCTCACCCTAATTTTGGCAAGTGTGGCCTTGATTTGTAGTCTGATTGGTTATTTTTCTAGTTTTAATTTTTAATTTTTTTTGTTTGAAATTACATGTATGTGTTCATTTGTGTGTGCACATGCATGTGGAGTCTAGAATGTGTCTTCCTCAGCTGCTCTCTGCCTTATTTTTTGAGGCAGGGTCTCTCGATGAACCTAGAACTCATCAATTTGGCTAGACTGGCTGAGAGAGCTTCTGGGACCCACTTGTCTCTACCTGACCAGTGCTGGAATTATAGGTGCACATCACTACATTTAGCTTTTAGAGGATCCAAACTGAAGTTCTCATGCTTGCAGGGCAAGCAATATATCCACAGGAACCCTCTCATGAGCCTGTTTTTTGTTTGTTTTTACTTGTTTGAGACAGGGTCTCATGTAGCCCAGGCTGCTCTCTATCTTACTATGTAGTTAGGATGATCTCAAATTCCTGATCTTCCTGTCTCTATGGCCCAAGTGCTTAGATTACAGGCCTGTGACACTATGCCCAGATTGGTTTTGTTCTGTTTTGTTTGAAACAGGGTCAAAACACTCTAGTTTCTACCTCCTCAATGCTAAGCATGTGACATGACAAAGTTGGCTTAGCCTTGTTTTGATCCAGGAAATGTAAATAGAGGGCTAGTTCTTGCCTAGACTTCATGGGGCCCTTGGCCCAGTACTAGAAAAAAGAGGAAGAAAAATACAAATAGAAACAGAACAAACTCTCTTTTGTTGTTTTAATATAGGACTTCATGTAGTCCAGGCTAGCCTCAAACTTGCTCTGTAGTCAAAGATGACCTTGAACTCCCGATCCTCCTCCCTTGACCCCTGAAGTGCTGGCATGAACCCCTTGCAAGCAGGAATTTATGATCCATGCCTCTTACTATTTTTCTGCTGCCAAATAAAGCTACTTCTCCAGCTTTGGTCCAAGAAGGAAGATGTGCAAAGCCACAGCTAACATACATGACATGTAATACCATTTGTGCAAGAAATAAACCCTTGTCTTAATAGCCACTGTGAGACCTTTGGTTGCTATTACATCATAATCTAGCTAACCTAAGCTAATACAGCCCTGAAATTAACTGTCTCTAGGAGTAACCCAAGAATTCATCTACTAATATGATCACAAAACAGACCAAACTGGTTGAGTCATATGGGAAGAATCTCAAGAAGGCAAGTGTAAATGTAATAAACAAGTATAATTTGTTTTGTCAACTGATTATGTAGTATATCCTATTTGCAGATTCTTTGTACTGAAGGGCTTGATCAACCATGGTAGTCCAAAACAAGGTAGTCCCAGAAAATAACCACAGCACTGCCACTCTGGGCCCTGTCTCAGAACAGTCACCCCAAACATTGAGAATTTTGTGCCTGTTATTACCTACGTGATAGATGAGACCAGGCTGGCCTCAAACTCATAGAGATCTGCCTGCTGCTGCCTCCCGAGTGCTGGGATTAAAGGTATGTACCACCACGCCCGACTCAGCTTACGTTCTTTTATTTTACTTATTTTTAAAAATTTTTTATTTTTATGTGTATGTGTGTATTGCCTGTATTGTATGTAGGTAAGTGCACCCGTGTCTCGCAATGGCCACAGAGGCCAGAAGAGGGTGTTGGATCCTCTGGAACTGGAGTCACAGACAGCTGTTAGCTGCCATGTGGGTGCTGGGATTCAAACCCTGGTCTTCTGTAAGAACAGCCAGCGTTCTTAACCGCTGAGCCATCTCTCCAACCCAGCTTACTTTCTTGATATCCTCCTACCTCAGCCTCCTGAGTAACCTGAAACTACAGATACTTGCTGCTTTAATTTCCCTCCCTCCCTCCCTCCATTCCTTCCTTCCTTTATTTTTTCTTGTTTGTTTGGTTGGTTGGTTTGGGATGGGTTTTTTTTGAGACAAGGTCTTAATAGGTAGCCCTGACCTGGAACTCTCAGAGATCTGTCTGCCTCTGCCTCGTGTGCCACCATGTCCAGTCTTTTTCTTTATAAATCAATCAGTTTCTGGCTTCTATAAACAGTTTCTATGAGCTTGATAAATATTAAAGCTTTGCAACACAGGAGACTTTGTTCATCTCTCTGCTTACTGTAAAAGTTGAACTTGTGAGTTTGCAACGTTCAAGAGTCATTCTGGATGCACAGTAAATTCCTTAGGGTTCTAGCACTATAGGGGGACCTGGAAGACCAGCTGAGTTTCCTGAAACCACACCCTCTTCTCAAGGTGTGTGCCTTTGCTCTGAGAGGAAGGCAGTTGGTGAGAGTTACATGCCATGTGCTGTTGGGCTTTAGAAAAGACAGGTTACAGCCACTTGGTTTGAAATAGTGGAGGAAGACTGGCAAGGAATCGTGAAGAGCTTGCTATATACAAATACAGGAAGCAAGAGATCCGTTAAGGGAAAGAAGAATCATATGAAAAGATCTGTATGGTCAGATTAAAGCTCTTGAGTTTTATTTCCTGTTAGGGAGAGTTAGTGGTAGAATTTTGTTGGTTTGAGGGACATAAAGAGAGCTATATAATGTGTGTCTTTAAAAAAAATTTTTTTGTTTTGTTTGTTTTTCAGACAGGGTCTCCCTGTAGCCCCAGCTGTCCTGGGGCTACACTTATGTACATGCAGGTAAAACACTTACACACATAAAATAAAAAGCTACAAGTAAACTACAATATGGATGAACCTTGAGGACATTATGCTAAGTGAAATAACCAGACACAAAAGGACACACATTAGGGGCTGGAGGGATGGCTCAGTGGTTAAGAGCACTGACTGCTCTTACAGAAGACCTGGGCTTGATTCTCAGCACCCACATGCAGGCTAACAATTGTCCGTAACTCCAGTTCCAGGGAGTCTTCTGACCTCCTCAGGTATTGCACGACACAGGTGTACTTATACACATGTAGGCATAGCGCTCATATACATAAAATAAAAATTGCCGGGAGTGGTGGCACAGGCCTGTAGTCCCGGCACTTGGGAGGCAGAGGCAGGCGGATCTCTGTGAGTTCAAGGCCAGCCTGGTCTACAGAATGAGACTCTGTCTCAAAACAGCTATAACAAAAATCAGTGTAGGAGTATGTGTTGGAGTTCTCTCACCTCCTTTGGATATATATCTAGAAGAATTTACTGAATCATATGGTGAGTCTATGTTTAATTTTTTTTTTGAGAAACCATCTTATCATTTTCTAGTGTCTAAACTATTTAATACTCTCATTAGAAGTTTGTCCAAAGATGAAAGCGATGTAGTTAAAGCTATGTTTAAAGACAATTTGGAAAAGAGAGTCAAATGGACTAGGGTTCCGCATGATCAGTTGGGGACTTCAACAATAGCCTGGGGAAGATGTAATGGCCTGAATACATCAACAAATGTAGAGCGACATTGCTAAGGTGGATTGAAAGGACGGTGCTGACTGTTGGGGGGGACAGGGAACAAAAATAATGTGTTAATGTGACTGTGTTTTCACACCTGGGAGGATGAATGTCGCCAGATGGAGACCCAGTATGTAAAGTCAGTTCAGACTTGGACATGTGAAATTTGAATTCCAAGCGGAACATTGTAAGCTGTGAGTGGACACCGTTTGTCTTGCTGTAGAATACCCATTTGCCCTTTCAACTGGTGAGGACACTCTACTGTTTTCTTTTTTGTTTTGGGGGGGCGGTTTTTTTTGTCGTTTTGAGACAGGGTCTCCCTGTAGCCTCAGCTGTCCTAGAACTCACTATGTAGACCAGGCTGGCCTCGAATTCACAAAGACCCACCTGCCTCTGCCTGCAAGTACTGGGATTAAAGACATATGCCACCACACCAGGCCTTGGTTTAATTTTTTTTGGACAGGGTCTTGTGTAGTCCAAGCTGGCCTTGAACTTGTGATGACACCTCATCTGGCTAATGGCACTCTACTCCCCACTGCCTCTACCTTTTTTAGATTGTAGAGTCATTTTTCTTTATCTCTGTGTA